GTAAAATTTTTATCTTTTAGGAACGGAAGGAGTATAAATTATTCTTATTAGTTAATTCTATATTTTTCTCTGAAAACATTAAATGAAATTGAAAAGAGAAAAAGATATTAAAAGAGAAAAGATAGAGAGTTCAATAGTTACTGTTTTAAAATTTATATATTTTTTCAAGTTACAAGGAATAAAATGAATTTTTTAAAGATATATATATATTGAAAGTCTTAATTTATGTCAGAAGACAATTAAAGAAGAAAGAATTATTGACGTAGGAATATATATTCAAAGATTTGTGAGAAAGAAAGTTATAAATGTTGTGTTTTTCATCGTTTGATTGATGACTATGGTATTATTGTACAAGATGAAATATAAAGTAAAAAAAAAAGGTTTGCACGATAGAAAACATATATCACATTGGAGTTTATTTATAACATACTTTTCCATTTATTAAACAATTTGATCACATCTATATCACAATTTTCAAGACCTTCTATGTATAACGTTATGTATATATTATATCATTATATACATAGAAGGTCTTGAAAACTATGATATAGATGAAAATCAGTGCTTTGTTTTCTAGACAAAAGAATGACGGTTTTATACAGTTTTATCTTGAAATTGAATTCAGCCTATCATAAGATTGTTTTAGGTTAGATGATAATGAGTCAATTGATGTTCACTATATTTTGGTAAGGTATTATAACCTTTAAAGTTTGACTTATTAATTAATTAATAACTTCGTAACCACCAGAATGTCATATTGTTAGTGTCTATATCAAGTACCTTAATATAGACACTATACCTAATTAATAGCTTTCTTTGTTTTGTCAAGGACATAAATATTTGACAATTTACTTACCATAAAATTTTATTCCATGAACAAGAAGTTACAACTGTGAATGTATATTCAACTGCGAGTGAGTATAATATGTACAATGTCTATAATTTTAATATCTAAATCAGATGTTAGAACTATACCTAAGACTAATTAGGTAACAAAAAGTAAAAACATTTCCGTTAGGTCTCCACAATATAGTAAACATTTTTGTTTTTTGACGTCATATAGTGATATAAGAATCAGTACCAACAATAACCATAAGCTCACCGGTTTGAGAGGTGATACGAGAAGCAGTACGGACCAACAAGGAGCATACTCAACCATGGAGTCAATTCTTCACTTGGAGTACCTGGGATTCAATTTCTACCAGCAAACCAACTATCCTAAGGAGATTTTATCAAGAGAAATCAGGCCTGGTTCGAGCTGGTTTAGGAGATGGTCTTGAAGGCCTTAAATCAGACCCATTTAAGGAAACTATGGAGTGCGGACCACCACCAGCTGAAGCCACGACTTGGGGAACTTCTCAAGGCATTAGAGACTTCCCTTTTAGTCCAGGAATACCTCCATATTCATAACAACACGTTGAAGGCCTAAAACTGCAAGTTGAATCTCTACTTGCCTTGTTTGGATGCGTTCACACCCAACAACTATTTTACCTTGAGCTGTGCATTTTGGAGACCTTCTTTGTGCATCAGAGGCTCCCAAGGACGCATCAGTTCCTTCCCAAATTGTCAAGATACAAACCAACAGCTCTTTCCTTATTTGGACATATTTTACATTAAATTGTCCAACGCCTGGTTTCGTTTAATGTTTTGAATTTCTTTCTTGTTTTAGTCAATTAGAACGTTTTGTAAGAGCTCTATATAAGCTCAGTTCATCCCCATTGTGAAAAACGCAGTCTCATTCAAGTTATAATAAACCTTTGTGTGTTTATTTCAAAACAGTGTAGTCTTTTGTGTTCTTGTCATTCTAAGTCTATTGGTGTGATTCATGTAGCCTTGTTTGATTACGTTTCTAGTGTGTTTGTGAGACT